CAATTTGTAAGCTGAAGTTGTATTTGGTTACTAATAGTTGGACACTACAACATTTTACTTTTTTTAATTATAGCTTGTTGAGATCTTTACCTAATATGGATTTATCTTCTATTAACTTTTTTCTTACTTTTTATGTCTACTGATTTTATTGAGTTAACTGTGGAGCAGCTTGGATGGCCACAGAACTTTTTTGTCGGCAACCGTTTCCCTCATACTTCGGTAAGTAGATTTTCTTTATTTCCTCTATTTTTTAACTGATCTATTCTCTTTTTAATAAATGCAAGACAATAAGTTCCAGATATTTAGGGAAGTCTGAGCAAGTGATGTGTCACTACAGGTTGCCGTCCTTGCTACTCACATCACACCAGTCACATAGCTTTGTGTGGCAATTCTATAGGTGCCCGCGGTGGGCACATGGAGCGTAGGTCTGCAATTTCTTCAGGTGGGTCAATAGTACATCAATTTCTACGATATTCAAAATGGACACCGCTGCTCGGAGTTTGACGGTATCACAATTTGAGAGCACCGCTTGTGGTTCGAGTGCTTCCATTTATACGATATCCCAGTCAGACATGTTTGCTCAGGGTTATGGGGTGTCAAAACAGTGCAACATTTTTCATGATATTCTTCTACATTTTAAAGTCAATATTGTAATTTTTTTTCTTATAATTTTAACATGTTAGTTTTTTTTTTGGTCTCATGATACTACATATTAGTGTGTGAAGGTGTATTTCACTTTTTTATTTGTACCTATGCTTTTTTGATGTGATTGGAAATATCTGAGTGATAAAAAATGTAAAAGTAAGCATTGGTGTGAGATATGTAAATGCAGAAGAATTTGTTGTTTTATTATTAGTATTTTTTAGCAGCTTGAACTTTTTCCTATATGATATTATGTTTTTTGTGTTTAGAATTTGTTTTGTAAGTTTTACATACACATAACTCAACTCTTCTATATTTTTATGTCTTAATATTTAAACATTAATTTTACAAACTTGCCACATTCTATATAAATCAATGTTATGTTGCATCTCCAAGAATAGTAATGAATATCTCAAATTTTACTTATACGATTTCCATGAATCCCTCCCTCCCTCGCTCTGTGCGTGTGAGTGTCCAACTCCACTCTCTGTGGTTGGGAAATAAGTAAATTTTTCTTCTATAATTTCATGAATCTTTACTTTTATGAGAGTTGGTAAATTTGTAAATAGCATTTTTTGGGTGGTTTATATGTGCCAAATGAGTCTGAAGAGAGGAATATATATTGCAACTTTTTTGAGAACATTGCAACTTTTGCGTGCTAGATTGTTCATTTAATTAAAAAAATCTGCAAATCAGTTGTTTACAAAACCGACAAACCAAACAACTAAACAACTTATCCAAAATAGGAGTTGGATGGTCATTTATCCAGAATCAACTATTTTCCAAACGTACAAACCAAACAACCAATCAACTTATCCGGATCAGCTGCTCATCAGCAGATTATCAGGATAAGTTGCTTATCAGCATAAGCTAGATAAGCTGCGGCTTCCCCAAACAGATCCTTAGTAGTAGATACAATCCAAAAAGTTTGGCCAAATAACTAGCTAAATAGCGGCTAGTGAAAGTGAATGGTTCAAATTTCGCCAAATTAATTGCCTTGGAAAAGTAATTTGTCAAAGGAAAGTTTTCTATTTGTTGTTATTATTTAATATTTATAAATTAACAGTTAATATGTGGTTGTCTATTTTATATCTTTTGGAAGGGGTTTAAGAGAAGCACTATGCCCAAAAAATCGACCCAGATCGAGTAAATTTGTTTGATACAATTCAATTCACTTTTTTAAAATCAGTTATGGTTTTAAAATTGTTAAAGTTTGATTTTCGATTTATGGTTAGGTTTTACTTCTTGTTTAATTTATTGAACTGAAAAATAAATTTTTTAGGCGAATCTTCCTTGAATGGTTTAAATGTAAATTTTATAGTAATCAACATTACATAATTCTACCTTAGTAATTTTAATTTTCTTTCATTATCATCATATCTTATACCTTCAAATTATATCTCAATTTATGTAAAACCAAACCGTTTAAATCAAATTAAACATAAATTTGTCTGGCTTGGTTTTATCAACATTATTTTTGATTCAACACTTTAGATTTTAAATTTTGGTTGAAGTCGGTTTGCCCAGTTTGAAAAGATAAACATTCAAATTGATTGAATGCTCACCCTTATTTCTTGGTACAGGATACAGTACAAGTGCATCCTCTATGAAAAGGTCTCAAGGAGCTCCCTCCACAACTACCTCTTAACTTTTAGCTATCTTGGCCTTCTTCAAATCTCGATTTTTCTTAGAGTGCTCTTCTCTTCTCCTTTTTCACCACAAGACTGCCATTAGTATTTTCTCTGGGATTTCAATATCTTCATTGAGATATCATCCATTGAAGGTGACAAACGATCTTTCTTTGGGCTCTCTTCTCTTCTCCTTTTTCATTGCAAGACTTCCATTAGTACTTTCTCTAGGATTTCATTATCTTCATTGAGATATCATACATTGATGCAGATAAGGGAAATGACAATCCCTAAAACAAAAAAAAAAAAAAAACTTCATGGTGAACGGTTTCAAATAATATATCCACAATATACCCATACACACCTTTATAGCCAACAAGGAGCTAATTCTTTAAACGATTTAATATATTATCATCTTTAATTAATTTTCCTCTTTTTTTCTTCAACACATAATGATGCCCCAACAAACATCCAATATACATATGTGGATCCTATTTCAAATCATGTGATGACTATTATCTGGTAGAAAAGAAATTATAATAGACTTACAATTTAGTAAGTCCGCTAGAGCAGGGAAATCTAGAATTTTATTTTTTATAAATTGTTGTTTACTCTTTATAAAATAGACTATTATCATCTGCTATGAATAATATTTAATCATAGTACACTTCACCTGAAGTGCATGCTCTTGCTATAAAATAACTAGATCGTTTAGGATAATTGATTTCTCAATAACTAGACCTAAGGTCTCAATTGGCAGAAATAATAAATTTGAATGACTCCTCCCCACAGGAAAGTGAAGGCCCCTAAGTGAGGGACAATCCACACTTACACTAAAGTTTAAAAGACTATTTCCTGTAGGTGTAGCAAAAGGGTCCCTAAGTGAATAATAGTCCGAACTCAACAATAGGTTTAAGAGACTATTCCCTTTAGGTGTAGCCAAAGCACCTCCAAGCAAAAAGAAGTCTAATCTAAAAAAAAAAATTATTTCAGCAATCCCAAGACAACATATAATTTTCTTTTATTCTTGTCGCAACCACCTGTCAAAAAATCAAGAGAATCGACTAACTAAATGTATACCCACAATAGTTTTCATGGGTTGATATATATGTTAGCAAGTCTCATTGGCCTACAGAGCCCATATCCTCTAGAGCACAACTACTTGCCAATTGCCAGAGTGATCTGTCGAGGTGACTCGTTGATCTCACCTGCAGATGTACCAGCTGTCGAGGTGATTTGCTGGCCTAAAATGTTGATGTACCAACTTTCATGCATTAGCTATCAGAGTGATCCGACGAGGTGACATGTCATTCCCTGAACAAGCACTCCTCAAAATCAACCAAAAATCGAAGTGAAGTCCATCATTAAAGAGTGGACATATGCCCATATCCATTTATGAGCCGCTTGATACATACGTCACCATATTTTATTGGAATGCCGTAGAAAGACTTCATATTGTATAATATATGATTTTGTATTTTTCTTGTCATTATGTAATCCGATGAAAGTAGAGGGTTGTCTATAAGTTTTATAAATAGATGATTTCTTCCACTTTTTAGGAAGATGGATACACAAACCCCTAAAATTTTGTCATCTCTTTCCATCTCTTTTTGTAAGAAACTGAAAGCTTGAGCTTGCAGAGTACAAATCCAGCCCTCTTTATCTCCCACTTCACAGGTCTTCCTCAACTTGTGTAGACACATGAACAATACATGTTCGATATCCTAAAAAATTCAACACTTGCGACCCTACTTGGCTCTTAATTTTCTTATTTTTTATGTATAATTTATGATAAATAAAATATAACATTCATGTATTTATGAAAAATGTACTTTAAAATTTGGTTGATAACATAATGTTAGCTATTTTACTTTAAAATAACACATCCTATAGCTTTATTTTTTGCCTCGTGTGTGATTTTAATTAACTTACGACATTTTTCTGTTACATGCGCAATTGTTTTAACTACGAAGACATCCCAATGAACATAAACAAATAAAATCAGTTGTTAAATCTCAAAGCTTCTTTTTACGATACATTGATATCCAGTTATGAAGATGTTTAGCTGCGTCCCTAATTTACATGAAATAAGATTTAAACTTTGACGGAGAAAAACTCCCATATGAGAGTCAGATTTAGTAGATCCAGATTTACATCGAAAAATAGACTAAGAGAGAGAATATTCGATTAAATGGACCGTACGATTTAATTTTTATATATTTTTTTAGCTGGATTAGCATTCATGAATAATGTATATTTCATGCTACCAAACTTCCCCTATCTCTAATTTTATAAATTAACTTATTTGTTAATTTCTACCAAAATAATTTATAATTTATAATTTATAATTAAATTTATTTTGAGATCATAAAAGTATACATTTTTAAAATGCTAAACACATCCTAAAATAAATTTAATATTTTGTGATAAATTTGGTAAGAAAACCGTCAGCTAAAAAAATATTTTAAATGTATAAAAGCCTCAGCTTTTTCAGCTGACGCCAGAATAAACAATAAATATTAATTTTATTAAGAAAATGGAAAAAAAAAATTGAATCAGCTTCCGTCATCAGATTTTAATTATGATAAATTTTAGTGCTTTTATATTTATTTTAGATGTTTAATATAAATTAATAATTTATTAAATCAAATATTACACTCGTTTAAAAAAAAATAAAATAAAAATAAAATGTAACTGTTTGCACGATTTGCTTTTTCTGGATTTCTCATCCATTTTATGACTTGTGGATTGCTTGACAGCGAAAGCATTGAACTCCGAGAAAAGGAAAATCGCAGCTTTGAATTTCATGGCTATCTCGCGAGACAATTCTTCGCTTCTCCTTCTCTTAACAATTTGCATCTTCTTTGTCTCTTCTGAGGCTGCTTCTCAGAAGAAATCCTCACACGGTTAAGTGATTCTCTCCCTGTTATATTTTTCAATTTCAATGTCTCCTTTTTCTTTTGCGTTTCTGAGAAAGGATGCTTCTTTGTCTGAAAGATTGTTTTTTGCTAACAAGTATTGGTTTTTGAAAGAATATTGGATTTTTTTTTTCAGTTAATGGAAGACAAAGCATTGTTCCCTTCAGGAGGTTTGGTGCGGAGATTTCTACCAAGTTGGTGAACAACAACTCTTTTGTCTTGGCTTCTAAGAGAACTGAGAGGAGAGACCCTTTGAACAACTTTAAGGATTACACCGGTGGTTGGAATATCAGTAATCGCCATTACTGGGCTGTGAGTTTTCTCAATCCCTTATTTAACTTTCCTGTTCTTTGTTCCTGTTTCCTGAGATTCTTATCCATCTTACAAATTGTTTTTTCTTTGCAGTCTGTTGGTTTTAGTGCTGCTCCTCTCTTTGTCATTGCCCTTGTGTGGTTTGTGATCTTTGGATTGATTTTGCTCTGTAGTGCTTGCTATTACTGTTGCTGTCGCCGCCCTATACACTCCTATTCTCGAGTAGCTTATGCAATCTCTATAATACTGCTCTTGCTCTTTACCTTGGCTTCAATGTATGAGCTTTTCTTCTTTCATATCTTATTTTAATGCTTGTAGTTTTTGTTAGGTCATTGAATTGGCATTGATTGTTTTATATCTTTGTGTTCATTTATCCAGTGTTGGATGTATTCTTTTGTACAATGGTCAGGGGAAGTTTCACAGCAGCACATCAAATACATTGGATTATGTTGTGGGTCAGGCAAATTTTACTGTGGAAAACCTTAGGGCTTTCTCTGGGAATTTGTCAGCTGCTAAGAGGATCAATGTGACCAATTTGTTTGTTCCTGGTGATCTACAAGGTAGGATTGATGAGATTGTGACGAGGGTTAACACATCCGCGAATGACTTGGATAGACGTACAGCTGACAATTCTAAAAATATTAGAGATGTTCTAGATACTGTGTAAGAATTTTCAGCATCTTTTGACGGGTTTCCCTTCACTTTAAAATTTGGAGTTATCCTATGTGAGATGATATTCTTGATGTAATGTAGGCGATTGATTTTGATCATCGTAGCAGCTGTGATGATTTTGTTGACTTTTCTTGGCTTTGGTGAGCTATTTACATAAGCTTATTATATCTGAATATGGAATTTTAATAGTGGACAGTTATAATATATATATATATATATTTATGTTTGGGTGATGTGATTAATTTTTTTTTTCTTTCTTAACAGTTTTTTCTATATTGGGACTGCAATTCCTTGTCTACATGTAAGTGGCATCTTTTTGTTACATGCATATTCCTTCCTCCTAAAGCCTTATGTTCACAGTTTTTCATAATGCTTCTAGTCAACAAAGTTGTTTGTTGATCACTTTGTTGTTAAATTTTCAGCTTGGTGCTCATTGGATGGTTTCTTGTTGCGGCAACCTTTATTATGTCTGGTGTATTTCTTCTTTTGCATAAGTAAGTTCCATTTTGCATTAAGTTTTGATTAGATAACTGGGCAACTGTGTAATAGATCCTGTAGTTTGCTGCACCATTGGAAACATTTATTCATAAATTTGTTGTTGTATTTTGCTATAGCTGTTTCAATCTGATTCCATGTGTTTGATCTATTTCATTTCTTTTTTCCCTCAGAGGTATTTTTTTAACATATGAGCTTTGAAAATATTTTCCATGTTACTTTACTTTTTCTTTATACTATCTTGGTTGTATATGCCACAAAGAGCCATTTTGTTTTGAGGATAAGTGTTTGGAATTGAGTTATAACTTTTTTTGTTTGATGGAGAGTGGATGAAAGTGATCTCCACTTTTGAGGGCCTGGAAGTTGCCTTCATTTATAAAGTTGATGCGATGATGGCAGTCCAAAAAAAGATGTGGAAATTGAATTCTGAAAAAATGTGTTAATGCAAAACAAATAAAAATGATTGAAATTGACTTCAATGAAAGTCAATCCCATAGTTCAGCTCCAACCACTTCCATACATTTATATCAAATCCAGTGGCCTTCAATATTTAATTTTTTTTTCTTGGAATGTTGAGGAATACATCGAAAAAGAGATGGCTTGAACTGGTGTCTTGGAGAAACAATCTTCTCTTCTAACCAATGTGTTTTGGATTCCTTCATGCCTAAATATGCGTTTACTTATAATCTATTTCACCACTTTATATTATGGACATTTGCGAAGATATATACATTTATATGTACTATGTTATATTTTTTTATTTATTATGACCTGCATCGTCAATGTTTGTTCTTCTGTATTTTTGAAGCATTTTTGTATATTTGTTGAAGTATGTAGCATTTTTACTGGCTGGAGCTAATTTTCTTGTTGAGACACATTTACACGTATTTGTTTGCACAATCAATTGTCTTGTGTTAGGTAAATATAGTAAATGATAATCCTAATGTAAAACTCATTTATATACTTATGTAAAATGTTAGAGAAAAAAGTGATTGAAGAAGGAAAGGAATTTTTCTCATTCTTCTTTATAACCTTCTTTAACCACCAACACTTTTTTTCCTTGTCTCCTCTTAATTTTATGAAGTCAGTTTACCAATTACTCTAGAATTTGTAAATTTTGTTTTTTTATTATTTTCACTTAATATGGTTAGACAATTGATTATCTACTACAAATGGTTTAAAAATCTGAACCAATTAGAAACTATTGTAGTTGTGATTGTTAGGAATAACAAAGCTGCATAATGTTAAAGCAGCAATCAAGAAGCATCTTCTTAACATATTTCATGGTATGTGCAAATTTGAATGCACTAATAAGATGAATAGATACAAATAATGTGGAAGGATCATGAAGAAAGGGTTCAAATAAAACTAGTATGGCGAAAAGATGTGCTTATTGAGTTAACACTTTATTCAGCATTCAACATGAATGATTGGAGGTTTTATTATTTTGATTTTAAATATTTGGCATTAGGCTATTGATTTCAAAGCTGAATGCAATACATCTACTATTAGAGTTTGAGTTGACTGTACGTTTAATCAATTATTTTTGGCATGCATCCAACCTGAAGCATGTTCTCCACTCCAGTTTGTTTCCTAGCTTATTTAAAGAAGTCTTGATATAATTAATTATAGAAATGATTACAAAAAAAATATCTTTCACATAGGTGTATTTGTTTTTAGTGTAGCATTATTGTTTGTAGGTTAATAAGTTACTTGTTAACGATTGATAACAGGGAGTTTATTGTGTTTTGGTCCAATACAATTGATTTTTATTGGCTATATGAATTAGGTTTAATGTTCATTTCAGCTTTTTAGTTTTTATTCATTCATGTTTGCTATGCTTTTACTTTACTTTCACTAATAAAGTTACTTATTATGGGTTATATGCATGTTTGTTACTTAATTCTAAGTTAACTTTCATACATCTTGATATAAGGTTGTCGACTTTGAAAATCTCCATCGAGACATGTATATTTGACTTTGTATTAGGGTTAATTTATTAGAAGATTTGATTAAATAGTGTAGACAATAGTATTTCACCATCTTAGAGATTTCTCCCTCTATTTCTAGTTTAAGACTTTCTTTAGGCACTATTCTTCATTGTTAGTATCCCTATTAATTCATTAATGCAATTTTTTATTATGGCTAGTTTGTATGCATTAAAATAGATCATTATGATAGTTTCTTATTTGGTTGAACATACGGGGAGAATGATTTGCTATAACTGGTTCAAAGTATAATGTGAGAGGACTATGATAGATTGATCCACTGGGCAGATAACACACGTTTCACAAATGTACATGTCGATCAATTAATATACAAATTAGAGTTCGAATATCGATCGTAAAAGGAAATAGGTTTATTCTTTATTAGGACAAATACTAATTTGTAAAATTTTTAGTTCTATGCAATGATTAAACTTAAATTTGAAAATAGAAATGTTGGAATGCAAAAGAAATTGATTTTTGTGTTTTTTTTTATTATTTTTGACACCAGACTTATTTAGATTAGCATTATGTTGACAATTGAGAACAAAATATTTGAATGCTCAATAATTATGTTGACAATTGAGAACAAAATATTCTTTATCCTCTTCCGAAATTTTAAGAAGCATTGGAGTTTTATATTATATTTTGGAGTCCTAAACTTGCAAAAACCCCAAGGTTCCATATTCCTCAATTAATTAAGCTCCCCTAATAGCAATATATCTATTCTACAAAAGAAATGTGTGTTTACCTAAATGTTTCATTATTTTTCTCTAATGCTCTTCATTACGATAGATTTTAACAATCAACTGATAGTAAATCATGGCTCATCAACTATTTTCCTTTAAAATGCAAAACAAACAGGGATTAATTAAAACCATAACAAAATACTATTCCAAAGCAATCAACACTTTGTTACAAATCATATTTTCACATGTTAACAAAATTTTACAAGTTCCAATGATATGCAAGAGACAATGAGAAGAAAGAAAACACCAGGGAGAGGGAACTTTTATGATCTTCACGCTTCGAAAGATTCTTCTTTTCATAATATGATCCTTAATCCCTTGTGTACACTCTAAATCCTTTCAAAATTGCTATCACGCTCTTTCACTCACACTTGCCACACACACACTGCCAGAAGTCCTTCTAGCCTTCTAGACATGCCTATTTATAAAATTCTCTCTCAAATTATCATAGAAACTGTCAAAACTACACTAGTAAACATCCCTGGTCTGGTTGTAGCACAGCGACGCTGAGATGTAGTGTCGGGACGTTGCAATGAGCACTAGAGAGTTAACTTCAAACCCTGGGATGCCAAGCTCTTGAGTATTTTGGATTAATCTTCTTCAGAATTTGGCGTTGAGATGCCATAAACATAGTGTCGGGACGTTGCAATGAGCACTAGAGAGCTAACTTCAGACCCTGGGATGCCAAGCTCTTGATTTTTTTGGATTAATCTTCTTCAGATTTTGGCGTTGAGATGCCATAAACATAGTTTTGGATGCCAAGCTCTCAATTTTCTAAAATTTTTTTCCACAACTGGCAACTAGGTGTTGTATCCCTAGCACAGAGGTGTTGGTGTTTTATCACTTGGCCATCATAAGTGTTGCGTAGGAACGCTACTTGCTATTTCCACGATTCTTCAATTCGACCCGTTCTACTGCATTCTTGCCATAAAATATCAACAAATACCAATAGAAACCATGAAATAGAATAAAAATATACTAAAAATTAAACTTCATTGAAGACATTTTCAAACACTTACCAAATTCCTCCAAACTTAATCTATTACTTGTCCTTGCATAATTTTAAATTTAAATTTTTTGGAAAGATTTTATGATAGCTATTTTTTTTTGAAAATATAAATTCCATAAATAATAACTTAGGATCTTTTAAATTTTTCATAAAGATTACTACTTGTCAATATCACATGAACTTAATTATTTCTTAAATTTTTATTTTCATTGATATTTCCCTTAATTCTAAGTGTCACTTGTGCTTAACTTTGTGATAATTAACTTCTAATGATTTTAGTTCTTTAAAGATTGGAATACTCTTTAGCTTAAGCATGTCAAATGATCACATAATGGATTTTCTATTCTAAATATAATATGTATAATTAAATTCTTTTAAGTTTAAGCCACTCATTAACCAAAAATTAAGTTATAATTTTAAATATAAATTATTAAATCCTGTCCTAATTTTTTTTTTCTTCTTTTTTTTTTTCTCTTTTCCATTTCTTTTGTATTTTTCCTTTGATTTGGTCTTTTAATTTTTATTGGACTCTTTTTGCTTTCTAATTTTTAGAGGATCATTTTTATTGAATGAAAATTTTCTACTTTGATTTAAACTTTATTTCTTTCTTTTGATATGCAGACTAAATCATTATCTTAATAATTTTATTATTTATTTATAGTTTAGTCTATATTCACCCATTACAATGTTGTTTAATTTGAAATTATCGTTTAAGAAATTGTAAATTTTAAAAGTTATTTTAGCTATCTATCTATTGGTTATATAGAAATCTAATGTTCAAATCATCTTAAGTTGAGATTATAGGTATAAATTTTGTGAGATTTTACTCTTAGAAGAGATCCAATTCTTAGACGAGACATTGAAAACAAACAAGGTAATTTTTACGAGACAAACAAACAATTGGTTAACAATAGATCATGAGTACAATTACAACTGAAGGGAAATACAACTAATACAAAACAAGTAAAAGAACAAATGAAATACGTCCAATCACTCAATTAAAGTACACATAACGAAAACAAATCAAGTGAAAAGACAACATAATGCAACAACAAGCAACAAGAACGAACTGGACATTAATAAAATCTTGCTAATAATCTTCCTCCTCACCCTTATTGTCATCCTCTTCCTTCATTGGTCACTCAGGGGTTGTGTAATGCTGGAATGGAGGTGCAATAGGGAACTAAACAACATCAGGACCCGCATTCATCAAGCAGTCGGAGAACATTCTAACTAGGGTTGAGTTAAACTCAACT